TGAAGAGGCGGCTGGTGAACACCCGGAGCCGGCCGGGGGGGGCTGGTCCTCCGCAGCCCGCAGTCTCCTCCTCGGTGGTCGGGTGGACGCGCAGTAAGATGCCCGGACTCTGGGCACCGTGCGGCCGCTGCGGGCTGAGGACGACGGTCGGTGGGTCGGGGTCATTGTGGAAGACTGAACCCAGGTCAGATGTTAATATGAGCACATCCAGAGGACTCAGCTGCGGCGGGAAACTCTCCAAACAGCACAACTCCACCTGCACCGCCATCGTGGACCTGCGTCATCGGCGCTGCTTCTTCACGGTTTCCGGCTCATGGTCGCCTCGTGTCCGCCACCTGGTGGCCGACCACAGGAACTGCAGTCGTACAGTGGCCACAAAGTGTAGCTTTACATCAGTATTTTATCATCAGTTTGATCCTTTTACATCCATAAATATACATTTTACAATTATAAAACATCTTTACTTAAATATTTAAATTACAAAAATACAAACAAACTAACTTTCTTTCGGACTCTGAGATTAATTGGCAGAAAATGTTCTGGGAGAAAAATGTTGTATAAATAAAGTTAAAGAAGCTTCCTTTAAAATCTTTATTGAATATATCCAGAACAAATAAATATAATTTTAAAGACTCTTATGCCTTTATTTTGATAGGTCAGGTGAAAATTTAATTTTAGTTGGACCAATAATAGAGTTTCATGATATTTATATGTTTTGAAGGGAATGAAAGGATAGATATATCTATATCTACATCTATATGCTCATAGGTATGCAGTTCATTTTATTGTTAAATTCCACCTTCATAAGAAGAGATGGACGGACAACAAAACCAAGTTTTAATTTTAACTAAGAATAAGAAGGCAATTCAAACTTTGTGTTTGTGCAGATTTAAAAAATCTGTACACTTGCTACTCAATTCCTAATTTTTAGTGAATTATTAGTTTAATGACTCAGCTTTCTCAGCTTAAATTAATTTTATATTATTATATTATTTTAAAATTTCAACCTTGTTTGCTTTTTATTTTCAACAATGTGTATTTTGTTGTTACTTCCTATGATTGATTCTTAGTAATCAATCGGTCCCTTTCTCAGGAGGATATTCTGTTCTGTGCAGCACTGAGTCTGTATTTATCTTCCATGTGTTATAAATAAAGTTTTAAGCCAAAGCCTAGTGTAAGTGCAGTCAGTTCCTTATGAATTCTCTCTCACATCTTTCATTGACCCATTAAGGTTTCCACATTCAGGAGAAAGGACGTTTGACTGTTTGTTTGGGAAAAAATGACAAGACGCCCTTCCACATGACCAAGACTTTACTTCACAGCTCAGTGCCCATCGACCCCGTACAAACACAACATGGGCCCCAACAACCAGCAGACCTTTGCACTGTCAGCAGAATCCAAGCAGGTATGACTTCCTCTCATGGTTAACCCTGTTTTTCTCATGCGTAAAAAACAGGCATAGTGCCAACACATTGGAACAGAAGGTTGAAGACTTGAAATTTACATTTTGCTTGGCAAGATAAAAAATAAAGATGTCTTTATGGGAAATGATTCTATTATATACAATTCAGAGCATAAACAAAATAAAAACACCCAGAAAATAGAATGATTAAAGCATGCCCATTGTCACACCATGAGGAGGAGGCGAGCGGCCGAGCTATTTATTTTGTGTTCACATCCAACTTTTCTCTTTATCCAAGACCAAAATGAGTACAGGATATAGTTAGGAATCTTTTATCATATTAACATAGTTTGGGCGTTCAAACCAGTCCAATTTGATATTTCTGTTTGGCCAGTTTATCCCAATAGGAAGGGGAAAGCTATATCAAATAATTTAAGGGTACAGATTTTTGTACATGTTGTCGTCCTTCTACAAATTCAACGTATTTGTGATATACTTCACCATGCAATGTGATCCAAGCAGGGTACTGTCAATAGAAGAGTATTATAGCTGTGGACAAGCTGGGAGTACTGTGTCAGGTGAGAGTCTCTGAAACTGGACCTGTTGGAGGCCACGATTGTCAGCTCCAGAAACAAGTTAAATCGGGGTTTGACCAGGGAGCAGCAGACGTATCCATAGCACCATGGCAGCAACGCTCCTGTACGACAGTCAGTAGAGTTGTTCCGATACCGATACCAGCGTTGGCAATTCCTCTAATGCTGCCTAAAATGTGGTATCGGCGAGTGCGCATCTGTGCACCGATCAGATACTATGTAATTTATTAGCCCCGAAACAGGACTCTGTGTGCTATTTCCCAGCTGTCTCCCATTTGTTTTCCTAGGATAGCAAAGTCATGATTCTGATTCTGGCAAAGGGTTTAACCTCAGCCAGGCCATACAACAAATATAGCAATCATACCGGCTTAGTAGTTCACGCTTGTTAAAAAATATTTTAACGCACATGTATCGGATTGGTACTTGGTATCACCTGATCCGCAAAGTTCAGGTATCGGAATCGGTATCAGAAAGGAAAAAATGGTATCGGAACATCTCTAATAGATCTATCTAAGATTACTGGAAGCCCATTAAGATAGTTTAGTAAGCTGTCCTTGGAAAATATAAGAGGTCTGTATACAGTTAATGAATTGAAGAAGGTCATTGTACCATCACAGTCTAATGGAATCAGGTGAGAACCTTTGAGGCGTAGCTTGTCCGAAGACTGATTATACACAAACATGTCTCAGCAATGAGTCTCTTTGTATTATCTAGCGGGCACCGCCTTCTCCCTGGCATTTGGCTTCCCCTTAGCCGCACCGGCTGGTTTCGGCCTGGTCCTGGCAGGCGTGGTGCCAGAGGAGGTCTGGGCGGTGGCTTCCTGTGAGGCGCTGCGCCGCATTGTTGTTGTAGTCCTGGGCGGTAGCACAGGGACAGTTGGGGCTCGAACCGAGAGGGGCTGCCTGGAAGGACATGCTCTTTGAGGGGAGGGGCTGTCAGTCCGGCAGTGGGTGGAGCTAAGGCTGCGTCGGGTTCCAAACAGGACTCGCAGGGGCATTCGAGGGCTGCCGGACGGGGCAGGGGCAGCGGAGGGACGGGGACATGAGGAGGAGGACCTGGGTGAGACAGGTTTGGATTTCCGTTGAGTGCTGAGAGTGCTTAGTCCGATTTTCTGATTGCTGTGAACAGAGAGTAAATTGAAGGCGTTATTTCTTTAAATTTGATCTAAAAATGTAATCAAATCACTTTAAAATCAAAACTTGCATAGACTAAGAGACAGAAAAAGAATCATACCCATTAGTGAAAGATGATGCTCCTTTGGTAGTGCTGCAGTCTGGCAAGGAAAGAGGAGAAGGAACAGCAGTGGCAAGCCCCACTGAAGTCCTCTTTATGGGGGTGACGGGCCTTGGGATCCTGCTCCTGCACTCCTTGGAGCCTTGCTCTTCAGTCGTTTTGAGACGGGAGCTCCTCCTGGACTCATCCGAGGTATGTGTGTCCTCCTCTGAGCCAGTGGTGGACAGAGTTTCAGAAGCCCTCCGACGCTCATCATCCCCAGAGGATAACGATGATGATGTCCCAGACAGCATCCTCCTCCTCATCCAGCGACCCTGTTGCTTCTGGACCAGCAGGCGGGCCAAGTCCAGCTGCCTGGCCCGCTGCTGAAGCCGAGCACGGGCCGAAAGGGAGGAAGACTGCTCTGAGCCTGAGTCCTCCTCAGAGATCAGTACTGGGATTCGGCTTCGGATCCTGGGCTTTATGGCAGCAGGTAGTTCCAAGCCGGTTGTCTGAAGCTTGGCAGCTTCTTCGCTGAATGATGGCTGTTTCTTAGGTTCCTGTGACTGATCTTTATGTTCATGAACTGGTGACATGGATTCTGGAACAGGTTCCAAAGACTGGGCCAGAATAGTTGATGGACCATTCTCATTATTAGGGTGTTTGTCAACTGGTGTAGTTTGGTCTGGCACAGGCTCCTCTGAAAACTCTTCTGTCACTGGTGCTGCCCCTTGCTCATGTGTGTCATCTTCTACAACTGATGCCTTCATGATGGCCAAGACTTCCCGGTCACTATCCTTTGCAGAGTGACCATTGGAAGACATGACATTAAGATGTGATGTCTCTGCAATATGGATGAAAGTGCGCTCAACTTTTGTGAAGGGTGGTGATGCAGGAGCGATGGGAGTGGACGGCCTCAGGTCTGACCTGAGAGCAGGGGACAAACGGCCAGTCTCAGAGGCTTCAGGTTGATTTGCCTCCCCAACCAGGAGACGGTCATTACGGAAAGTTAGGGCACACGGTGTGGCCAACTCCCCCTCTAAACCATGATCACCACCAGAGGGAGACTTGCGAGTGTCTCCGGGTGAGAAGAGAACAAGGGTTTTGGAGGCGTCTTCCAGGTCAGGGTCGGCATCAGCAGCTGAGGCGTGCTCCCTCTGGACCCTCTGGTCCTCAGCCATGAGTGTTGAAGGCGCAGCGTCCTGGCTACGTTCGGTGCTCTTCTGACTGGCCTCACTGTTGGACTCGCTCTTGGTGACGTCATCATCCTTTGGCCCCGGACATTCTGGGACTTCTTCGTCTGGCGTGGCAAAGCTCCGGCGCTGAGGCAAGGTTCCGGTTAGGATGACCGTGAGGAAGTCAGCCCTCTTGACCTGGAGCTGAGGAAGGATATGGAAATGCTCCCTCTCATCACTCTGGCCCTTTGTCCGATAGTCTGGGGAGGACGGCGACGGGATGCTCTGCTCTGTGGGCGACAACACCTGGAAACAATGCAACACTTTATTACAACTCAAAACAAGACAGAATGGAACAAAAACATAAGTTTAGAGATAAAGCTTCCTGAGCTCGGACATATCACAGTGCATTAACAGGAGGCCATAAGCAGTTTATAGACATGTATGACCAATGAAACCAGGTGAGGGGTGGAATTCAAAAACTATGTATTCAGGGTACACAAGCACACACACAATGCCTCAGCACATCTGTAACAAGAAAATGTAGGGAAAATTAAGATAACGTATATCAGTTAAGTTTAAATACAGTTTAATCACAGTTAAACAATAAAAAGTCACAGTGGAGATGTGGATTATTTTTTAAACTGTCAAGCATTTATTAAATCACACAAAGGTTTTTAAATGTTTCATAGTCAGAAGTTCATAAAGTCAATTTGATGTAATTTTGTTTACGTTTAGTGCTCTGATCCAATCGATAGGAATGAGAGAGTACACTATTACCTGTTCCTCTTTAACCAACTAAATTATCTGTTTTGGTGTCTGTACTCAGAATGGACAGAGCTTAAACAGACATGGGTTCTGTTTAAACTAGAGTGGACAAACCTGGAAATTGTTAACTTAAGCCTGAAACTGAAACGGGTTGATCAGAAGTTGCTATGTTTATTGGAAAACTATCCACAGAACAGCCCTCTGATCAATGGTTTTGATCACAACAGCAAGAGCTATTTACAGACGAAGTTTTTGTATATTACGAATTACGAATATGGATATTGACACAATTTACTGGTTTGATATGACTCAACGTTTTGTGCAGGGGAACGCTGTGATTGGTGTAACTCACAGGAGACAATGATTACAATGATTGGTCAAATTTGCAATGTCTGGAGCTGGACAATGTCTGAATCACTCTCTGGCCTACAACAATAATAAAAGCTGCAGGTGTCATCCTGCTGATTCAGAGGAAGCTAATGTTAACGTAGCTCTCAGCTAACGGTCCCTCTTCCAGTAAGAACCACAGCAGGAACTGAATTTTCCCCCAAAACCATTTTAATGTCATTTTGGTTGTACACAAGCTTTTCAAGATTGTCTAGATTACATACATTGATATAAAAGGCACAAAAAAATGCATTGCAGAGTTTATCCTTAGACAGCACGCAGTCTGATATCAGGTGATTTTCAAGTGTTTCCCTTCATAAAGATTTAACATACAGCCTGTACATACATACTAAACCCCCGCTAATTATCATGCTATTAGAGATTAACTGCAAACCTAATTACTCTCTACATTTCTGTATATATGTACACAGTTATCATTTGGATTTACAAAAAGTTTAAAATACATGCTTTACCTGGAAATTATACAAGCAGTACTGTACAATCATATAGTGATAGAAAAGAAACGTAGCTGTATTTTACACGTGAAAGACACTCACGGATCATCACATTGAACTAACGCTGTAAGCTCTTCAGCCCCAGATTCACCTCCACAACAGAAACTCTGCTGATATTGCAAAAACTCTGCAGGAACGTTCAGACATTTTATGATAAAGTACTTTTGTTTTCATCATTCTCAGAGTCAGGTGAGTGCGGCCAACTGGTACTGGAAACACAGTTTGAACCAGTACAGAAAAAGGTCCGGGATGTTGTTTAGCTTAGCTTAGCACAAAGACTGGAAGCAGGGGGTAAACTGTTAGCATAGCTTCATCAAAAGACAAACAACAAATTCACTTATCAACAACTGATAGATTGATACCAGCTTCACTTCTTTAAAGAAACATATTTAGCTTCGCTTAGCCGAACCTTTTGAAGTCTAGATGAAATGAAAAATGCTTTTTAACAACAGTTGGGAGCAGTGACTGAACACAGTAACTCACATAGTGCGGCTGTTGGTTTGACTACAGAACGCTCATTAGCTAATAAGATTTGTATAAAGGTACGAGCTTTCCCCCGTACTTCCAGTTATGTTAAGCTAGGCTAAAACGCCTCCTGGACCCATCCCTGTACCGACTAATTTCAGACTAAATGCGATTTCTTAAAATATCTGGATGTTCCTTTGAGCATCGACTGTTAGCGGCACATAAGGTCCGCACTGATCTGATGAACAAACAAGTGAATGTGGCATACAGTCTAAACAACATGGAGATGAGTGTTCACCTCTAAAGACAAGTTATCTGTACAATATCACCCTGTTATTCCAGAAAGATCAGCACTATCAAATATGCAAGAAAATGTTTGAGAGGAACTTTTTTATATAATTATAGTGTGTGATTCATGAGGTATAAATGTTTTTTGAAAAAGCTTTGTGGGACAGTTTCTGCTAAATCTGCACTCATCTAGTTTTGAGGAAAGAAAAAAAAGATTTCAAAGTCGCAGCAAAGTTGATTAATGAAAAAAAAAAACGTAGCCTTATTTTTTGTTTGACCACTGCGCAGTACCACTGTTTACCATCACATCTGATTACTGCACTTCTACTTATCAGGAATTCCTATTCAACAGAAGTGGAATATGCATGTTTTGGTGTTATTACAGTTTAATTAACCTTTATTTAATCAGGCGGACTCATTAAGATTTAGATATCTTTTTGAAAAGAGACCTCACTTAATTATTGAATATTTGGAGCATTTTGTTTGTAATTTTTGACTTGTGTTACATATGTGAAGGTTTGAAGGATGACTTCAGCCTTTTTTAGATCCTGGATCTCATTTTAGTGGTTTTGGTTGTAGCTCCTTTAGACCACAATGACAGAATGAACACACTTGAGAAGCCTTTTGAATAATTGGAAGACAAGGAAACTAAAAAAAGAAGTAAGGGTCATTACAAGACGACATCAACGCTCTAATGCAGTTCTGTTGAAGCCTGACGCACCAAACATCAACTCAACTAGTGGTGACATTTGTGTTGCCTCATGTTGCCTGTGTCTCGGCCAAAAAGTGACACTAGAACAATCCGAACAGACAACTAGGACGTAGTTCTGCGTGAGAGGTAATAACCCTCTACACCAGCTGTTGGTGCCGACAACACAGACAAAACTCGAGCTACAGCTAGCCGATGTGTCAGGGCCGTTATGGGAGACGATGACCGAATCCCAACATACGTCTGTCGTCTGAGATGCCGCTACCTAATGAAAGAACACAGAGAATACTGACTGACTGCTGTTGGTCTCCAAATAGTATCAACAGATTAATTATAGCAGACTTTACAGGAGCTCATGGTGAGTCAAGTTAAAAATGAACCCCTTTGCTTAATGATAGTCCCGTAACATTAGCTGTTGTTAGCCTGTCAGTCACCGTAAAGGAGTCTCCAGATTGAAAGAAATGAAGAGAAGAAATGAAGAACACAGATTTTGTCCACATTTATCCAAAACTCAACACTTTCAAGGGATCATTCACTTACAACTGGTTCTGATTTACTATGGTGAGCAAGTTAAAGTTGAAGTCTAAGTCTAAGTCTCTCTAAGTCTAAGTTCAGAGACCAGCAGTAAATAAACTACAGTACTGTTGCCTCACAGCAAGAGGGTTGACGGGCCTTTCTGTGTGGAGTTTGCATGTTCTACCCATGTTCGCGTAGGTTTCCTCCCCCATTAAAACATGTATATATATATATATATATATTAATTCTCCAGTCAGTGCCCTTGAACTTGGGTCAAATAGAGAGAATTAATTTCCTTTAATAAACAAAGGATTTCTTCATTTAAATGAGTTCAGAAATATTTGTAAATATCTATTATGTCATACGACGGAGATATATAGGCTCCAATAAGACTGGCACCAAACAGCATCAGAGCGTCGGCGTTATGATGTAATGACCTTTCCTTGTCTTTATGTTTTCTTGTCAGGAACCAGGAAATAGCTCTTCAGAATTTGCTGATTTCTCACAGTTTAACATTGCTGCTGTTGCTGCGACATTGTGCTTCTGAATGACCAAAACGGCAAAGATGAGACATAAAAGTTTTCATCTGTCCAGAACTGTCGGCTCAAACAGCCACCTGACTCTCACAGGATGTTATTACAGCATCACTAACTAACAAATAATTGGGTGTAAATGTTCACATCTACGCTGCAGAATAAAAGATGTGATGAAAGATTATGGATTCTGCGACTAAACAAAGTCAGCTCTGATCCGTGAGTATCCCCTCTAGTGGCGGCGTGAATTATTTACAAAGAAATCACAGACGTTTTTCAGTCAGAGGTGTATATTCACTGTGTTTTTGTTGTAATTACAGTACAGTGCTGTTTTCAGTCATTTTACAGTCAGAGGTGCAACAGTAGATCTCATGCAAAGAGTGGCGACAGTCGGTAAACAGTCTTTTGGTACAACGTACCGTCATTAACGCTGCGGATCGTCTTTTTAAACTCAGTGTGTCATCAGCAGCACACTCAAAGCTTCCTGTTTCTAACTAAAAGTGGCACTGCGTACACGGCAACACAGGACAAAAAACATTGACATGTATCAGTGACAATCTTGTACGGTAGGTGAATCATTTTGCAGGCGTGCAAAATAAAGTTCAGAGATAGCAGCTAGTCCACTTTATACATTCTCTAAGTGGTTGCAGTGTAACGCTAATGCTAAATATAAAACAGGGCGGGATGTCCTGGACTGAAGCAGCATGAAAACAAACTCTGGTTGTCTCCTCGTCAGACTGGAGCTGTGATGAGCCTCCGGCACAATGTTATCGCCTCGAGCTTAATGAAACAGCAAGTGGTGCATATTTAGTTAATGTAGCCCTTTAACACACTGAGAAAGCAACGTTTGGCTTTCACTGCACAAAATGGCCGTCTAAGCTAGTAGCCAGATTTTGGAAGCGTACTCCAGAACGTTTTTGAACACGTTCAGGAGTGTCGAAGAATGCTGTTTGAACAACATTCAGAGTAACGCTAGCGGACATGTGACGCTAGCAGACGTATGACACTAGCAGACGTGACGTATGACGTATTAGCAGATGTATGACATTAGCAGCGGCCTAATATTAAACAGGGTTTCACAACTCAACACTCAACCACTCCAATGGCTCATTGTTCTTACAGTAA